CTATGTATTTAATAATATCTTTTTCTTCCATCTTTGGTTCTAAATACTTTGCGAAATTTATTTTCTTTATTGCATACTGTTCCCTTGTCATACCAAAATTCTCTTCATACCTTCCCGTGTACAGATTTTCTCGAACTTTTCCTTGTGCTATATCACCCCAAAAATAATCCAAAAATATTCTTTCAAATTCATCCATGGTTTCAAAATTATCTTCAATTAAATCATACCAGTTTTCTGCATTTCCTTTCATTGTATTTCTAATAATATTCTTCCATTCACTTCCCATATTTGTTATCTTATCTTTTAAACGTTTCATAAATACAATTGGATGCATTCTATTGTCTCCATAGTATTTCAAATCTTCCATACTTCCATACAATGTAGAATTTACGAGAATTGGAGTATTTTCCTTTTTCATAATGTGTTCCATTTGTTTTACTTTTTCATCAATTTGTAAGTGTTTCATTTCAACGTTTTTGTTTACACCTTGTACATCCTTTTCTATTTCCATTATTTTCACCCTTATTTCAGCATGTTTCTCCTCACTTTCTTGCCTATCCTGTATTACAATTCGTTGTAAATCTTGATTTTTTTCTTCCATATCATTTATTGCTTTGCTCAATTTCTTATCCATGTCTTAAGAAATTCTGTGTAGTTCCTCCTTTAACATTTCTGTCTTTCTATCTATTTTTCCTAACTCTTCAAAGTTCTTTTCTAAACCTTCACTTAATTTCTTCGTCTTTTCTTCCATTTTTTCAGTCAGAATTTTGTTTCTTTCTTCAGCCTTCTCATTTATATTTTTCTCCAATATTGCATTCATCTCTGCCATCTTCTGCAGTACCAGTTCTAAACCTCCTAAACTGGTCTGAGTTTCTTCACTCGTTGTTTCCCTCTCGATGTCCGACATCTCTTCCATACTTGGTCTTCGTGTTGTATTTCCTGATCTAAGTTCCATTTACTTCCTACCTGTTTATATCCTTATCTAATCTCGAACATACACTTAGTAAATATTCTATCTTCTGATTTTAGATCACAATATGTATTTTGTCAGAAAATTTATATTTTTATTTATTTTTTTTAATTTTTTACAAATTGAACTTTATATCTGAAAAATCGTATGATGGCCCCACGTTGGGCGCCAAATTTTTTGTATAGGTATTTATATTGTATACATACACATAAATAGATGTATTAATAAGTGTAAAATATGAATATACTATGAATTTATATGTATTGTTAATTGTCTATTTTTCTTTATTAATACAATTAAAGTTTTGTTTTATTTTAAGTTTTATAATAAGTAAATAAAAAATCTTAAATTTTCAACTTTGACTTTACTTACTTTAATTTCTCACTGGGGCCAAACTCCTCATCTCAGATAGCAAGTTCACACATACATATTGTAATTTTTTTTTTTTTATTTATATATGACAAATCAAACTTTTTTATTTTGATAGTTGATTAGGTATTTATTATTTAGAAACGTCACTATTTATTTATTCTGATTACTAATCTTTAAACTTGTTATAATTGTTACTAGTTTTATTTTATATTTCCAAAACTTATCGTTTGTTCTACAAGAATGGAAAAATATTCGTACTAATGAAATTTTTAAACTATGCAAAATTTTTATTCAATGCAAATTTAATTTATGTTTGTTTGACAATTAAAATTTTTCTGACATATGGAAATATCTGACAGATTATATAATTTATTTCTAAAATAACTGTTAAGCAAATTTATATTTTTACAACTTTTCTACTAACCTAATCTTATTTATATCTCCACTTTCTCGACTATCCAAATTTGTCTAATTCTAAAT